TGTATTTATCGGATTTATGTATATATGCCATCTATGCTTATGTGCTGATTTACACGTTTATGTATTTTATATGTTATTTTTGCGTTAATTTGTTACGAAATTTGTTATGAAATTTGCTGCTTCTGAATGACAGCATTAAAAAAATCCAATTCATCATGGGTGATCATTTACACTAACCATACATCACAAGGACTAAATGTGCATTTCATATGTTTTGAAGTAGTCATCTAAAAAATAAAAAAAATAAATCCAGCCTATTTTAATTGAGTAAATCCTATTAATGTTATTTTCCAAATGTATTCGCTTATATTATATAGAAGCCTTCCCGTCTTCTGGGAAACGTCTCTAGTGAGATCGACTTGGAGGAAGAGGAAATACAGAGGCGCCAAAGGTTTGCATTCATGAAACAGGAGAGGCAAAAAGAGATCTCGTCGCTTATACAGGCTAGAAAGATTTCTCTTACGAATGGTAAAGATGAATCGCAGGTCAGTAAGTCTTTTTAAAAGGCTATTTAACTGGGATGTCCCTCTGTATCAATTTCTTTCTGGATTTTTTAGGTTAAAAGCGAGTATCGAAAAGTTAATCCAGTTGCCGAAATTATGATGGCCAGGAAACTGAGCGGTACACATGTTGGCGATGATGCTCCAGAAGTGGTGAGTTCTCCAATTAACTTTAGTCGATATGTTGATTTTTATTTGGCAGGGTGTTTAATTTTTGGATTGCAAAACAATTCAAATAACTTTTTTACTCTCCTTTGTTGGCGAACCTATTCCGTTTACTCAAATTTGTCCTCATATTTGGGCCTTATTTACCCATTTCGATTTACGAGGTTGTATTACTGCTTTATATATTCCTACGTTCATAATTTTTTAGTCATAACATATCGGTATTGTTCCATTTGTTCTCTTATTCTTTAATCTTATTTATTTATTTATTCTTAAGTTTTACTTGACTTTGGTATCATGTTATTTTTAAAAATAGTTCTTCCTACTGCCACCAACCTATTCACTATTCAGAAGACCAGGTCGCATTGATATTTGAAGGGTTAAATCTTAATAATCTTATTTATTTCTAAAAAATCAAGATGACATATCTTTATTAGAAGGAAATACACCTGTTTTCAATGCTTTTATTCCATAAATTATAGTTTTGCACAGTATAGGTCGGAATTTTCGTCTTTTAGATTTTTTGCCATCAATTATTGTTTCTTATTTATGTCTCCCTTTGAGTTATTTTAAGAATCGCAGGTGGTTGTATTCATATCATATATCCGCTGAAATTGGTCAAAATGATCTCAAAGGCATTTTTCTTTCGCATTTTATTCCTGCCATTAATCGAGAAAAGAAACTTTTCTGCCAATCCGATTTTGTTTCTTGTATTTGGTAATATAAAATAAATTTTTTGGTACTGAATAGGTTTTCGAGACCACCAGTAAATCAGATTTATGAGATGAGAATAAATTTCTCACTACGACTAACATCTATTCCAACTCATATTTAGAGTAAATATCACACGCTACTTCAATATATATTGAAGTAATCTTTG